CACACACACACACACACACACACACACACACACACACATATATATATATATATCACTGGCATTATCACCTCCTGCATGCCTTTCAGAGGCCCTACAAATAGCAGCCTTTTATGTTCTTTCCCAAGGGTTAAACCAAGTCCCTGCTGGTGCAGTTCCACTGAATTTCACCTTTTGTCTCCACTCCCAGGCTCTCCAGAACCCTCCAGCCCTTCCCATACCTTTCTCAAAGCATTACTCTAGGGCAGGGCTCCAACCAAAGCCGTAAGTGCCCTAGGATCATAGCAATGGAGGGCTGGAAGGGACCTTGGGAGGTTTTCTAGTCCAGCGCCCTGCGCTAAGGCAGGACCAGGTAAACCTAGACCGTCCCTGACAGGGGTTTGTCCAACCTGTTCGTAAAAACCTGCAGTGACGGGGAGTCCACAGCCTCCCTTCGTAACCTGTTCTAGTGCTTCACTGTCCTAAGAATTAGAAACATTCCCCTCCCAGCCAACCTAAATCTCCCTTGCTGCAAACTGAGCTAATTACTTCTTGTCCTACCCTCGGGGGACATGGAGAACAATTGGTCACCATCCTCTTTCTGACAACTCCTAACATTTGAAGTCTGTTATCAGTTTCCCCCAGCCCCCTGCCTCCCAGACTTCTCTGCTCTAGATTAAACATGCCCGGTTCTTTCAACCTTTCCTCAGAGGCCAGGGTTTTCTAAATCTTGGATCGTTTTCGTTGCTCTGCTCTGGACTCTCTCCAATTTGTCCTTAAGTGCGGCACCCAGAACTGGGCACAGTGCTCCAGCTGAGACCTCATCCGTGCTGAGTAGAGTGGAACAATGACCTCCCGTGTCTTACATACGACGCTCCTGTTAATACACCCCGTAGTGACATTAGCCTTTTCCGCAACTATGTCATATTGTTGAATCATAGTCAATTTGTGATCCACTATAACCGCAAGACCCTGTTCAGCAGTGCTATTTAGCCAATTATTTGCCATTTTGCATTTGATTTTTCCTTCCTCAGTGTAGCCCTTTGCACTTCTCTTCACTGAATGCCATCTCCCTGGTTTCAGAGCAGTTCTTCAATTTATCACCATCATTTTGAACTCTAATCCTGGCCTCCAAAGTGCTTGCAACCCCTCCCAGCCTGAGTTCAGCTGTAAATTTTAGAAGCCTATTCACTACTCTATTATCCAAGTCATTTAATAAAATTACTGACTAGTACAGACCCAGAACAGACCCTTGCCAACCCCACTTCATAGATCCTCCCACTTTGACAGCGAATGATTGATAACTACTCTTTGAGTTCAATTTAGCAACCAGTGGTGCGCCCACCTTATGGTAATTTCAACTATACGACATTTTCCTAGTTTGCATATGAGAATGTCATGTGGGACTGTGTCAAAAGCCTTACTAACATCAAGGCATATCACATCTACTGCTTCCTTCCTATCCATTAGCCCAGCTACCCTGCCAAAGAAGGAAATTAGATTGGTTTGACATGATTTGTTCTTGACAAATCCATATTGGCTGTTACTTACATTAATATCCTCTAGGTTTGAACAAACTGATTGTTTAATAATTTGTTCCACTGTCTTTCTGGATATCAAAGTTAGGCTGACTGGTCTATAGTTCCCCAGGCCCTCCTTTCCCCTCTTTTTAAAAATAGGCACTATGTTCGCCTTTCTCCAGTCCTCTGGGTCCTCACCCATCCTCCGTGAGTTCTCAAAGATAATCCCTAATGTTTCCAAGAGGGCTTCAACTGGTTCCTTAAGCACCCTAGGGCAGTGGTCCCCAAACTTTTCAGGGTCGCACCCCCCTTTGCCCCGTCCCCGTCCCCCCCCCCCGAAGCCAGGGCCGGGAGCGGAGCCGCTGCTCGCGGGGTAGGGTATGTGAGCAGGGGTAAGGGGGACGAGATTGGGGCCACAGCTGAGGGTGGGTCTGGGACCAGAAGCAGGGCCAGAAGCTGGGGGCGGGACTGGAGCAGAGCTGGGAGCAGAGCGTGGCTGGGTGGTGCTCCCTCCCTGTCCCCCGTGGGAGCTGCCCTGGGCCCCCCCACTCCCCTGAATTTTCCTCCGTGTCCCCCTATGGGGGCGCACCCCACTGTTTGGGCACCTCTGCCCTACGGTGAATTTCATCAGGCCCTGCTGACTTAAATGCATCTAACATCCAAATATTCTTTAACCTCTTCTCTCCCTATTTTGGCCCAAGATCTTTCCCCTTTGTCATGAATATTCATTGTGTTAAGCATCTGCTCACAACTGACCTTTGTAGGAGTGTCCCATTTTGAGGGGTATCCCCTGTCGTTGCGGATGAGCTGATTCTGCCATAGAAACCCCTCCCCCCACTGCGGAGGAGTAAAACTTGAAGTAATGTCTGGATTCTCTTCTCCAGAGGGTGCAGGCCTGAGCAGAACTGAGGAGCAGCAGCAGGAGAAAGGGCCTGAGAACTTGGAGCCACAGGGGACTTTCCCGAGTAGGTCGGAAGAGAGAGTTTTCCAGAGTCCTGAGCAGGAAGAAACTTGCCAGAGGCAGCGCAGGTCGCTGAGGCTGCAGCGCATCTCACTGAGGAATGAGCCAGATGCCCCAAGGGACTGTGAAAGGGGTGGCCAGGAACCTCCGAGGCTCCCTGCGCAGGAGAGACCGAAGACGAGCCAGAGCCCACCTACGTGTGAACTCAGCTTCGAGGGAGAGAGAGACCTTAGCGCAGACAAGTGCAGTGTCCGCAAGATAAAGGATCCACACCAGTGCCAAGTGTGTGGGAAGTGCTTCCGGCTACGGCAGGACCTCAGGAGGCACCAGAGGATCCACACGGGGGAGAAGCCCTACCTCTGCCTTTACTGTGGGAAGAGGTTCAGCCAGACTGCCAATCTCTGCACCCACAAGAAGATGCACAGAGGGGAGCGGCCGTACCCCTGCACCACCTGTGGCAAGAGCTTCCGGCAGAAGCAGCAGCTGGTGTCCCACAGCCGGATCCACACGGGAGAGCGGCCCTACCTCTGCACGCAGTGCGCCAAGAGCTTCCGCTGTAAGCAGGGGCTCAGGGCCCACCAGAAAACCCACGTGGGAGAGGGAGGCTCTGAGGGGAGCCAGGCCAAAGGGCGGGTCTTCACCTGCCCCAAGTGCAAGGCTGTCTTCACTCACAGGCACGACTTCCTAGCGCACCGGCGAGCGCACGCCACCAGCGAGCAGCCCTACCAGTGTGCCGACTGCGGGAGGCGCTTCAGACAGCGGCAGCAGCTGATTCCGCACCGCCGGATCCACACCGGGGAGCGACCCTACAGCTGCCCTCTCTGTGGGAAGAGCTTCCGGCGCAGGCAGGAGCTGACCACGCACCAGAGAATCCACACGGACGAGAGGCCCTTCCGCTGCCCCGAGTGCCCGCGCAGCTTCAGGGAGAAGCAGAAGCTGAGGAGACACCAGAGAATCCACACAGACGAGAGGCCCTATGCCTGCCCAGAGTGCGAGAAATGCTTCCGGCAGAAGCAGCAGATGGTGTCCCACCTCCGGATCCACACGGACGAGCGGCCCTACGCCTGCTCGGAGTGCGGGAAATGCTTCCGGCGGAAAGACTCCCTCGCCAAACACCAGAGAACCCACCAAAGGGCCCAGACATAGGGCTTGTCTACACTACCACTTAAGTCAATGTAATGTACATCACTTGGGGATGTGAAAAAGTCCCCCTCCACTTCCCCCCCGAGCAACGCAAGTTACATCGACTTAAAGCACTGTCCACACCGTGCTATGTCGGCAGGAGACACTCTCCCGCCGACATGGTTTCCTCCTCTCGTTGAGATGGAGTAATTATGCCGACGGGCGAGCGTTCTCCCATCACACAGTGCATTTTCACCATACGCACTACAGCGGCGCAGCTGCATCGGTGCGTGGTAGTGTAGACTAGACCATAGTCAATGCAGTCGTCCTGCCCCAAACTCCCTCCTCGTTTCCCCCATGGAGGGGAAACCCCTTCCGCAGGGACTCAAAGAAACCACCCCCGGAGCCATCACCCCTTCATAGCTCTCGGCAGAGAACAGAGGGGAAGAAACACTACAGACACATCTACCCTGGAGAAGGCGAAGGAGCTGCACCTCCATTCCCTCAAAGGGTCCAGGCAGCCACAGTCTCACATTTATTGTTTCTTTGATGAATTTGAATCATTATAGAGGGACCTTATCCTTCCTGTGAACCCCGGTAAAGCCCTTCTGTTCTCTCCTCTGTGTAGTTGTCCTAGGACAGGCAGGATTTCCGAGCTCTCTGTATTTCCCTGCCCTGTAAAGGGCAGGTCGGTTGGGTGTATGTGAGGTTCCCTGTGTGGTGGGAGAGGCATACGCAGGTGAAAACCATGACACGGTGCAGTAGTTTAATAGATTCATAGAGCTGAAGGACAGAAGGGACCATTAGATCATCTAGTCTCACCTCCTGTCTAGTACAGGCCAGTCAGTTTCACTCTGTTACCCCTGTATTGAACCCCGTCACTTGTGTTTGACTAAAGCATCTTCCAGAAAGGCAACCCGTCTTGATCAAGAGATGGAGAATCCACTCTTTCTGCGGGTAGTTTGTTCCAATGGTTATTCACCCTCACTATCAGAAACATGTGCCTTATTTCTAACTTGCCTTTACCTGACTTCAGCTTCCAGTTCTTGGTTCTTGTTGTGTCTTTCTGCACTAGATGAAAGAGCTCTGGAGTGCCTGGTATTTTCTCCCAATGAAGGTACTTCTATATTGTGATCAAGTCACTTCTCAATCTTCTTTGCGATAAACTAAACAGATTGAGCTCTAAGTCTCTCATTGTCAGGCATTTTCTCCAGCCCTTGAATCCTTTTTCTGGCTGTTTTCTGCACCCTCTCCAATTTGTCAACATCCTTTTTAAAATATGGACCCCAGAACCGGATGCAGTCTCCCCGGTGCTCTATACAGAGGTAAAATCACTTCCCTACTGCCCTGTTTGCACACCCAGGATCACGTTAGCCCTTTTTTGCCACAGCATCGGACTGGGAGCTCGCACGAGTTACTTGTCCACTTGGTACAGGGGGTAGCCGTGTTAGTCTGTATCCACAAAAACAACGAGGAGGCAGAAGCGCGCGGAGGTGCCAGTCTTTAAGGTGCCACCTGACTCCTCGTTGTTTTTGGCCACTAGGACTCTAAATCCTTTCCAGATTCATTGATTTCCGGGATAAGTCCCCCATTCTGTAGGGATGGTCTGCATTCCTTGTTTCTAGATCTATAACTTTGGGTGTGGCTGTATTTAAATGCATTGTGTTTGGATGGACCCATTTGACCAAGCAAACCAGATTGCTGTGTCTGACTGCCCTGTCCTCATCATTAGTCCACACCCTGCTAATTATTGTGTCACCCACAGCTTTGATCAGCGGTGATTTTATATTTATGTCCAGATTACCGATGAATGTTAAATAGCATTGGCCCTAGTGCCAATCCCTAGAGAGCCCCACTAGAAACACTCCCCTTCAGCGATGCTGATGCACCATTGACAACTACTTTTGGAGCTCTGTCCGCTTGCCAGTTTTTAATCCTTTTAATTGGGGTTTTACTGCTATCGTACTGTGCCCATTTTGTAATCAGAATGTCATGTGGTACTAAGTCAACCCCCTCACAAAAGTCTATTATATTTAGAGTTATCTTTGTCAGCCAAACATGTAATCACACCACAAAATGACATCATGGTTTGTAACAAGACCTATTGTCCATAAAACCATCTTGACTGGAATAAATTATATTCCTATCATTTAATTCTTTATCCACTGAATCCTGTATCAGCTTTTCCATGATTTTATCCAGGATTGACATTAGGCTACCTGGCCTGTAGTGCTCCAGGTCATCTCACTTGCCTTTTTTGAATATTGGCACAATGTTACCACTCCTCCAGACTTCTGGAATTTTCCTGATATTTCAAGATTTATTAAAAATTAACATCAGCGGACCAAACTTGGGTCTCTTGGGTGCAAGTTATTTAGGCCTGCTGATTTTAAAATGTTTATCCCTAGGAGATATTGTTTTACATCCTCTTTGGTTACTAATGGATTGGAAAGTACTCCATCATCCTCATATGATATGAGTACATCATCCTGCTTCTTTCCAAATACAGAACAGAAATATTTATTGAACACTTCTGCCTTTTCTGCATTATTATTAGTGGAGGGAGGGATAGCTCAGTGGTTTGAGCATTGGCCTACTAAACCCAGCATTATGAGTTCAATCCTTCAAGGGACCACTTAGGGATCTGGGGCAAAAATCAGTATATAGTCCTGCTAGTGAAGGCAGGCTGGAGTCAATGACCTTTCAGGGTCCCATTCAGATCTATGAGATAGGTATATCTCCATCTAGTAATGGGCCTATACTATTGTTGGATTTCTTTTGTTCTTAATACACTTAAAAAAACTCCTTCTTATTGTCCTGATTCATGTCAGCTATGGATGTTTCCAGCTTCCCTTATCTATTTTCTACACTTCATAACTTCTAATTTGCATTGATTGCTATCTAGTCCCTTTTTTCCCCATTTGTTATGCTGTATATTATTTTTTATTTCTAATTTATGTCTTCAATTCACCCCTGAACCAGGATGGCCTTTTAACCAAAGTCATCGTCTTTCTTGATTGTAGAATTGTGACTTTTTGGCCACCTAATAAACTCTTCTTAAAGAACTCCCAATTTTTCATCAAATTTTTGTCTAAATTTTTCATCACAACCAATTTCCTTTAGTCTAGGGAAAATTTGCCCTTTTGAAGCACCAAGAATATATATTACTAGTTGGGACTGTCCTCTGTTTGCCCATGTTGAATGTAATGTGCATGACCATGTGATCTTATTGTTCCCCTCATCCCCACATCTCCATCTTCCCTCCTATTGTTTTTTATACTTATGTTTTGTTCTAATTAGATTGCAAGCTCTTTGGGGCATGGACTCTCTCTCTATGTTTGCATAGCCCCTTGTATAGTGTAGCCCTGATCCGGCCTCCAGCCTCTGGGTGCTACCACCTTACAAATAATAATTATGAAAAGATGATTTCTCTGATGTAATCTGGAGGTCAGTGCTCATCTGACAGAAAGCCGTCACAGTCTGGTAGCACTGTGCAAAACTGGTGAAAAATGTCTCTGAAATCTTGCAGAAACATTTTTGTGTGATCTTGGGCCCCTCATATTTCACTTTTCTGCTCATCCAGACTGTGCCTAAATATTGCTTTTTCTTTCATAACATTTAAAAAATGTTTAAAAACCTTTCTGTTCTATCCCACCATCTGAAACTCTCATCTGTGCACCAATAATCTCCAATCCTGAATCCCACAGTCTTCTCTGTTTCAGCTTCCACAACGCCTTATTGGCCCTTTCCAATTCATCCAAAATACAGCTGCTAAGGGCCAGGAAGCCATGGAGGAAAGCACTGACTTCACTTCTGGAAATGATCACAAAATTGCCAGAGAACTCTGGGTGGAGGGATAGTTCAGTGGTTTGAGCATTGGCCTACTAAACCCAGGGTTATGAGTTCAATTCTTGAAGGGGCCACTTGGAGATCTGGGGCAAAAATCAGTACTTGGTCCTGCTAGTGAAGGCAGGGGGCTGGACTCAACTCCATGACCTTTTGGGGTCCCTTCCAGCTCTATGAGATAGGTATATCTCCATATATATCTCGTTAAATATACAATACAGGCCTCGCAAGGAGCTTTTCATAGGCGACATGCTTTCGGGAGTCCCTATAAATTATGAAAGCTGGGAGCTGCAGGAGTATGAAGTAAATATGCCTCAGCTATTTCCTACTTCTGGGAAATAAAATCGTCATCAGAATAAGACAAATGATGACAGCAGCTCGAGAGAGTGATGCTAAATGGATGGCCAGCTAGTGAAAGGCCAGGAACTTCCAAGCGTTGAATGTTGTTGGGATTAAAGGGATGAAGTTGTTGCGTGTGACTGGATTCTGTACAGAGGACACCATGCTAAGCATACTCAATACCGTCCATCTGGGCAGTGAGTAATGTAAGAGTAGAGCCTGATATAGCTTGTCTGGTCTGACCTCCATCTACACAAGGGATCGGCAACCTTTGGCACGCGGCTCGCCAGGGTAAGCACCCTGCTGGGCCGGGCTGGTTTGTTTACCTGCCATGTCTGCAGGTTGGGCCGACTGCTGCTCCCACTGGCCGCGGTTCGCCATCCCAGGCCAATGGGAGGCTGCGGGAAGCAGCGGCCAGCACATCCCTCAGCCCGCGCCGCTTCCCGCAGCCCCCATTGGCCTGGAACGGCGAACCATGGCCAGTGGGAGCTGGAATCTGCCGAACCTGCCGACGCAGAAAGTAAACAAACTGGCCCGGCCTGCCAGGGTGCAAAGGTTGCCAATCCCTGATCTAGACTGTACGTTTACTAGCTGGCTGTATTAGCTGGCGGTGGTTGTTTTGGGATGATATTATGTTTTATTTGCGTTTGATTTTCAAAAGGAAAAAAAATAGGAAGATTAACAGTACCACTGAAATCAGCAGATACTGGCGCTTGTCATGTGGCGGGGGATTCTCTTTTGTACTAGATTGGGGCTAGGAAATAAAAATCAGTCTCTTGCCAGCAGTCCTGTGTGTCACTCGTTTATAACAGGCACAGTGCCCTCCTGGATTGCAGCCTTGAGACATACGTGTTAGCTGCACAGCCTCTAATAAAGAATAGTTCGTATAGGCCCAATTGAAGGACCATTCCAGAAGTGAGAATATTTGTAGCTCACAAGTGAGAATATTTGTACCTATGTTTGCAGTGTGGTTGTAGCCAGGTCGGTCCCAGGATAGTAGAGGGACAAGGTGGGTGAGGTGATATTTCTCCCACCAACAGAAGTTGGTCCAATACAAGGTACTACCTCACCCACCTTGTCTCTCCAATATTTGCAGCTCTCTTTTATCCGTGTCTCTGTGTAACACAAGTTGTTCATCATCTGGATGTTATCGAGTTCAGTTAATTCCACCTTTGGTTAGTTCCCTTCATTACTGCCAAAGACAATTGACTGTGTGTATTTGTTTAACTTGATTTTACAATTATTTATATACAAATGATATGATTCAGGCTGCCCGGGAGAGATTTATGGTCTGAACTATTCCTGGTGCTTCAGGAGACAAGAAAACTGTAGACATGGACTAATAGATATTTCATATTGACGTAGGGTATATCTACACTGCAGCGTGGGGTAGACAGACACGCGCTAGCTCAGCTTGCGCTCGTGTGCTAAAAATAGTAGTCAGGGTAGCCCAGGATAAATCCGTGCAGACCCCTTGCGTATGTACTCGGGTGACACGTCCAAACTGCCACCTGAGCTATCCCTGGCTGCTAAAGCTTACCCGTGCTGGGAAGCACGTCCCAGCTGCAGTGTACATGTACCCATAGATTTTAACATCAGAAGAACTCGTTGTGAGCATTAAACCTGATCCCCTGCCTAGTACAGACCATGGTATTTCAATCGTTTAGTCTATTTCATTCTTCCATGGTGTCTCCAATGTTCTGCATCAAAATCAGAAACAAATACATTCAAATACAAAGCAACACGTGAAGGAGGGATCGGTAGATACAAAATGAGCTAAACAGTCTCTCACCCCTTGGTCAGCCGTTCAAATCCAGCTTAGGCCAGTATGGAAGGGCAACAAAAATAATTAGGGGTATGGAACGGCTTCCGTATGAGACTGGGACTTTTCAGCTTGGAAAAGAGACAGCTAAAGGGAGATATGATCGCGGTCTATAAAATCATGACTGGTGTAGAGAAAGGAGATAAGGAAGTGTTGTTTACTCCTCATAACACAAGAACTAGGGGTCATCAAATGAAATTAATAGGCAGCCGGTTTAAAACAAACAAAAGGAAGTATTTCTTCATACAACGCACAGTCAACCGGTGGAACTCCTTGCCAGAGGATGTTGTGAAGGCCAAGACCATAACAGGGTTCAAAAAAGAACTAGATAAATTCATAGAGGATACGTCCATCAATGACTATTAGCCAGGATGGGCAGGGATGGTGTCCCTAGCCTCTGTTTGCCAGAAGCTGGGAATGAGCGCCAGGGGATGGATCACTTGATGATTAACTGCTCTGCTTATTCCCTCCAGGGCACCTGGCATTGGCCACTGTCGGGAGACAGGATACTGGGCTAGATGGACCTTTGGTCTGACCCAGTAGGGCCATTCTTATGTTAAGGGAATTATTACTATGTGTAGCAACCCCTGGCTTGAAGGGGTTTACAGTTTGGTTCAGTGGCTCTCAGCACCCCCACTATAACATCGTTCCAGCACCCCAGATGGTTGCTTAGGAGTTGCTATGTGAATCAGTGTTGCTACCTTGTATGATTCTGTTATAAATCTTGCAATATTTGGTGGTTTTTCTAGAGCTCCAGCTGCTGGAATCAAGAGAATAGGTGCAAATTGCAGTGTTCATTTTTTTTAAATGTAAGTTTCTAGCCCTCCTGATTGCAGGGAAAACCTTGAAAACATGAAGCAAGTGTAACTTAAAAGCTCAGAAAACAGAAGACAAATAAAAAGGAATTAATTTTAGACTCTGCCACAGACTTCCTATGTGACCTTAGCAAAGTTACTTAGCCTCTCTGTGCCTCAGTTTCCCATCTGTAAAATGGGGATAATAGCACTGCCCTATCTCACCGATGTGTCATGAAGATAAATACATAAAAGACTGTGAAGCGCTTTGAGCTCTCCTGATGAAAAGTGCCATGGAAGAAACTGATTTAAAATATAATATTAATATAATAACTATCATGATTTTTTGGCACCTGACTCATGATTTCTGAATGCTTGGGATTGGCCACACTGTTTGATGGTCCCAGCCTAGATACGTTAGGTATGTAGCCACACTGGATAAGTAGATTAAACTAGGAGTGTGATCACCTCTTTCAGAAGCTGCCATGACGCGTCTCAATGTTATGCATCAAAGTGGCATTGTGGCATCTGGCGGTGATGGGACACAGCAAGAGGAAGAGAATGGGGACAAGAGGCAACATGCCTGAGGAAGCAGTTCGTGTCCAAAGGAGGCCTGAGCTGAAGGCTGGCTGTGTGGGGGTCCCAGGAGCACATGTGCAGTGCTCCGGGCCCCCACCCCAGAAAGGCTGTCACTCAGACAGGGCCCCAGCGAGTATTTAGCACTGATGCACAAACCAATTGAAGTGCAGGGAATAAAGGGACTTTTTCCACCCAGAAATGTTTCCTGCATCTTATGCAAGCTTCTGAATGTGGCTGTCCTTCCTTGGGGGCCTGAAGGATGGATGGAGGTGGTAGGAGGAGTGACTCCTTTTCCCCTCTTCTCCAGAGGAGCGGGAGCTGGCAGGTTGGTTTGGGTGGCAGGGGACAGATCTTCTGTTGGAGGAGTCAGACACGGGTGGACTCTTTTTTTCCCTCTGATGGGTGCTGTGCTGCTGCTCAGTCTCTTGGCGGGAAGGCCGAGTACCCCAGAAACATCCCAGCTTCTCCTGCTGCAGGTTCCCAGGGAGGGTAGGAGCTGAGTTCCGCTAAGCCAGAGCCAAGGACATTTCCTTCTGCGCTTAGCGGGGGAGCTGCTGTCCCCCTGTTACTTGGACCCCTGTTTATCCACTGGGCTGAGCTGAGAGCTGGGCCGAGACCTGTAATCAAAACTAGCACAAGCCGGAGGAGTGGCCACCTGGACAGGGCCTGCAAGCTGGCAAGGCCCTCTCACCCACGGAGGTGTTCCTCCAGACAGGGATAAGGCGGGGGAGACTTGTACCACCACTGCCTGTGCCAGTGCTAAACGGGATGTGCTAATATCAGAAATCTCCTCAGCCAACTCTTTCAGGGTTCTTGGGTCCAGGCCCACTGATTTAAAAATGCTTATCCCTAGGAGATGTTGTTTAACATCCTCTTTGGTTACTAACAGACTGGAAAGTACTTCATCATCTTCATGTGATTGAGTACATCATCCTGCTCCTTTCCAAATATGGAACACAAATATTTATCCTTTTCTGCAGCACTATTAACAGTGTTACCATCTCCATCATGTAATGGGCCTATACCAGTGCTAGGATTTCTTTCATTTCTAACACATTTAGAAAACCTCCCGCTGATTACCCTTAGCCGTGCCAGCCATGGATTTTTCCCTGATGTCTTCAGCTTCCTTTATCAATTTTCTACACATCCTGAATTCTAATATATATTGATTGCTATCTATTTCCCCTTTTCCCATTTCTTATATATTGGTTTTTATTTCTAATTGCTGCCTTCACTTCATCACTGAACCAGATGCAGTTTGCTGCCTCAGCACAGAGTAGAGATCTTGTTTAAGACTGCTTTGCTCTTATATAGCACCAGCCTTCTCAGGATCTCAAGCTGCTTTGCAAACACTGATGTGTTACGCCCCTCAAACCTCTGTGAGGTTAGTCAGTATTTTCCCTGTTGTTTTTTTACAAAAAGGGGAAACTGAGGCAAAAAGCAGTGAGGTGACTTTCCCAAGACAAAGAGTGAGGTTGGAGGCTGGTGTAAAGCATAGGAGAAACATTTTCAAAAACTCCTAAGTGACGTAAGTGAATAAATCCCATTATATTTTTTAAAATGGGACCTAGGGTACATCTAAAAGAACCCATGGGAGCACGTCTTAGAGCCCATGTCAACTCAGGGCTCATGGGGGCTCAAAATAACAGTGTAAATGTTCCTACTCGGGCTGAACCCTGGGCTTTGCGGGGGACAGTTTCAGAGCCCAGGCTCCAGCCGGAGCAGGAATGTCTACACTGCTATTTGTAACCCCCTAGCACAAGCCTGAGTCAATTGACCCAGGTTCTGGGATTGGCAGCCAGCCATGGGAGGGGTTTTTGCAGTGGAGATGTACCCTTAGGCACCTAAGTCACTTAGGCACTTTTGAAAATGTTACCATAGATCTGCTGATTTTGAGTCCTTAATCCCAAGCGAATCCTTCATCTAAACTGACAGGCCTGCAACGCTCCCGTTTTCTGCACAAGAACATTTCCCTGGCTCCTGGGGAAGGGTATAGGTGTGTGTGTCTTTCCTCCGGGCACCAGTATTGACTCTCCAGGACAATGATACTCAGACCGAGGCTCGAGAGCTGCAAGTGGCTCTTTAATGCGTCTCCTGTGACTCTTTGCAGCACATGATATTAAAACCCTGTGATTTAATTATTAACCAATCAGGATGCTTTTACTATTTCATTAACCAATTATGTTATTAATTTGCATTAAGTTATTAACATATTTGCTGTCAGAATTATATACAGAAACTAAATAGTTCCCCTGCCAGACTGTTTAAATATGACTATAGAGCACTATAATAAATGAAACCATGAATTCACATGACCGTGACTCTTTTGGGTAATGTTGATTGCGAATCTGGCTCCTGAACTACTGAGATCTGAGTATCACTGCTCTAGGGTGTGATTTAGGAGCTTGCAGGGCAAAGGACTTTCTGGGCACAATGCCAGGGGAGGAGGGAATCCACACCCACTCCTGTCAAACCCATTGCTGAGCAGCCGAAAGTGAAACTCACTTTGCTTCTGTTTCCCGGAGAAAGAATCATGGCTCAGGCTGCCGTGAATCTGACTGAAGATCTGCAAAACGAAGCCACTTGTCCCATCTGCCTGGACTCTTTTAAAGACCCAGTGATCACAGAGTGCAGCCACAATTTCTGTAGGGCGTGCATCAGTGACTACTGCAAGGAATCACTGAGAAACCTCCCCTGTCCTCAGTGCAGGAAGACAATCCAGCCAAGGAACTTCAGGCCTAACAGGCAGCTGGCGAACATGGTAGAAATAGCTGTGCGGCTCGGGGTCGAAGCAGCAAAGAAAGCGCAAGAGATTGTGTGCAAGGAGCACAAGGAATCTTTGAAACTCTTCTGCGAACAAGACCAGAGACCGATCTGTTTGGTGTGCAGGGAGTCCCAGGCGCACAGGGGTCACACGGCGGCTCCAATAGAGGAGGCAGCGCAGGCCTACAAGGTAGGAAATCCGACACTGTGTAATGTCTTTGAGGAGAACTCACTGCCCATCGTGCCCTATACCCCCCAGCGCCCCCCAGAACTCACTGCCCATCGTGCCCTATACCCC